AAAAATATCCCAGTATTTGCAGTTTCCCACTCTTTGTCAGTATATTATGTCAAATCAAAAGGAACAAATCAGGAACAAACATTTGTAATTCCCACAACAAACCGATGGTCATCAAATAATCATGTGTTTTTATAATACATCAAAACATCAACAAATCAAGTACATGTTTGCCACATGACAGATATTTTGACAAAAGACAATTATTTGTCAATTGGTGAATATCAAGAGTGTGGAGCTGCTTAAAACATTCAAAGGCCACAGACAGTAAATATTCCAATGAAAAAAATTTATCTCGTTAAACATCTTTGATAAAATTATCAAATGTCAGCTGTTATTTTAGAAAATTAAAATAATTACATTAGAATTAATATCCAAATTCTAAAATACACAATGTAAAATAACTGATCTTCTAAAAGCCCAATTACTATTATTTTTAAAATTGTACATTAGATTATAATGAATTCTGCTATAAAAATTATTAAAACTATCTAATATTTTTAAAAATTACAGTAGGGCATCGATTATCCGAAAGAATTCCAGTCGGCAAATTTAAATTTTCGCCAATGCTGTGGCATTGCAATCTTTGGCTATGTCTTGGGCTACTCAAATATTTTGTGTTTTTGATACTAAATTAACTTCTGAAGTATAAGTTTTTATTATTTTTATATTTTTCAATATATTTATTTTGTTTGTACAAAATAAAAAAATAATTTTTAACGATACAATAGTCTTCATTAGGCTTAACATCGACGAAAATTCAATGCAAACTGACATGCAACGGAAAAAAATTTCAACATGGGATAGGTTAATATATTTTTTCGTACACAATCGGTTATCCGAAATATTGATTTTCCGTACAACTCCAGTCCCCAACTGATTCGGATAATCGACACACTACTGTATTTAGATTAAGTAGAAATTATGATTAGAAGAATTTCCAAGTTTGATATGCTTAGAATAATCTTTCTTAATGAGGTTCAAACTCTCAATTTTCATATAAACTAGACATATAAAACATTTGAAATTAACACAGTAATTTAGATACATAGTTTTCTAATCATTTCCATTTTGCATAAATATGTACAGAGTAATCAATATTATTGTTTATTTCTTATTAAATGATAGACAGTACAGAGGACTCTCAACTTAATGAATTCTCAAATAACTAAGCTACATCATTCACTATATCAAGATTTCAGTAGTGAGAACCAATGAAACTATTCACTATATTGGATGGTTACCATACCAAGAGTATGTTATAATTTACAAGTATGGTATGGATTGGATAATATTCAAATTTTAATAAAAAGCAAAGAAATATCACAATAATTAAATGTCTTAATAGACATTTGAACTATAATTTTTACTAATATACTTAGGACATTTAACTTAAATGGCCAATAACATTCCAATAATCTCACAGATACTTGAATAAATAATTTAAATAATTTGTTTCATTATTAAAAAAAAACAGAACTAGTTACAATTTCTAGCCAAGTGGCTAAACAACTCAATGAGTCATTTCCATTAAGACAAAACAGAAAATCAAGGGAATGAGTGAACTCGATTATATTTTGGTTAACCACTGTTTTCCAAAGTATCTGGACTACTACCCCCTTTTAATGCATATATTTCTTAAATATTTGTTTTTTGTTTGTTTCAAAAAAGAAGTTTTGTCCTGCTCATATTCAAACACACTGTCCCTTGCCTTCTAGCACCTGAGAGTATTCTATCACTTTCAATGGGGCAGTATCACCTACTTTGGGTTTCATTTAGTTTATTTGGGAAGATCACGTATGTGTCCTGTTGCTTCATGGCAACACGACACATGGGAAATCTGCCAAGGAGAGATGCCACCTGGAAGGACTTTCAACGAAAAATTGGTCCCTATTTAGGTGTTACTAACATGAAGAAAATCCTGAAAATGCAACTTGGCCAGCTTGTTGGCATGGCAACTACCAGTGTTCAGTGGTTTTATACACTCAGCCATTGGTGGGTCCCATTGAAATCACTGGGTTAAACGAAAACAGGTCAAGATGTAAAAAGACTCCTATACAAACCATAAAAGACTAAAAGAACATTATTCACAATGTAAAGCAAAATATCTGTGATAAAATAACTATAAGATTCAGTTTAGTTAAAAGTACATATTATAATTTTAAAAATTTACTTCTGTTATGTAATAGGAAAAAAAAACAAATACATTTAAAGAAAAACGACCAAAATTAGCAATTTTTAGTGGCCAAATTAAAAAAAATTTATCATAAATAAACAATCACTAGAAATAAAAAAATCATTACTTTTCTTGCTACAACATTAAATCAGTAAAAACAGAAATTTCTTAGTCAAATAATGACTAAGTAAAAATTGTAATTTGTATTATTCAGAAAAAATATTCCTTTTTGTTTTTTCATTTCTGCACTGCTGAATTTCTGTTTTAGTTGGCACAAACTGTAAACTGCACAAAAACTCTACTGCAATTTTAATAAAAAATGCCCAGTTATAAATGGTATTAGACATTTTTTTTGCTTAAATAAAGGGAATTCTACATGCAAACATATTTGTGAAAATAATCTGGTAATTTAAGTAATTGTGCAATAAAAAATGTTCCAAAATTATCGACAAATTTAAGTACATGTAATTTGAAATGTATATATATAGTCACCGGACAACTCCTATTGTATCGATTCACAGAAAATAACAAATAATCGGCCATTATGTAATTTAAAAACAATCACTTTAAATGGTTAATTTGTTACCTGAAAATAACTTTTCAAATAAATTAATCTAAAGTTTAAAATTACATTTAATAAAAAACAATCATTGCATTTCTCCCCTTCTTTTTTTCCTGTCACATCTGTTCTATAACAGAAAACAAACCTCATTTTGTGAAAGTTTCAATTGTTACACCTTAACTCTGATAAAGCTCTTTATGAGGTTTATCTTCAGAAATACATCACTCTAAAGCTAAAAGTAATAATGAGGTTGCAGCTGAAGTTTTCATCTCTAAAATGCAAATGTTGAGTGATGTTTGCATTTTAGAGATGAAAACTTTGGCTGCAACCTCTCTATACTTTTGAAGATAAACATGTAGTTATTAACTGTCAAAATCAAATAAAAATTACTAAATGACAAAATTTAGACCTAAATTATAGTTTGGAGTTGTTTCTATCTGCATCTAAGTTGTGGCTTTTTACATAGCCAGTAGTTAAATAGTCATTAAACAGAAGACTAGATTATTGTGAGGGGTAAATCTTCAGCTCTGAATGAGGAAGTTGGCATCCTATCAGAGCTGTAAACCATGCTCATAGGAGTAAAACAGTCAATGGTCTACTTGTAATTCTTTGTGAGATATAAATCACTAAAATTGGACTAACTGGAATTTTGGATGGTCAAAAATGGGATAAAATAAAAAAATAAAAAATATGAAACTATTTCTAAAAACAATGCTAAAAATCAACTGTTTTCCACCTAACTAGAGATGATCAAAGGCTCATAAAACACGAGAAATGCCATAGTGCAACTACTTCCAAGGTAAGATCAGAGTCACACTGAAATCCATTAAGCACATCATGTGTTTAATTAGCAACTAATTTCAGTGGACTATATCTTGCAAAAGATTACATGTAGATCATTAGTTCAACTTTTTTACTCTCCAATAGAGGTCCTCATTCAGAGCTGAAATTTGTGGAAAATATCTAGCATTATTTATATAAGTAATTATGTAAAAGTAAGGATTAGGTCCCAAAGTGGCTTAGGCCACTTTGGCACCTAATCCTTACTTAATATTACCTAATCCTTACATCTTAATATTAGTAGTAATTTTGAAAATAAGAATATTTTCCAAGTTTGAGAACATGACTTTCGATCATACCTTATGTTATTATTATAGTAAATATGCTGTTTTAGTTCTTATTTCTTTATGCAAACAAATAACATATAAGAAAAGCCCATCTTGATGCCATTTGACATATTTAGAAGATTTTATACTTAAATTTTAAGTCTAATTATAAACTTTGGGCTTTTATTTGTATATAAATCAGTAGTAATTGTGTATATAATTATAAAATTGATTAATATTTACCTGTAAAATAATATACAAATCACATTACAAAGACAATATTTTCCTAAATATTTGTAAAGATATATAAAGCAATTAGACAAACTTGTTTTTCAAACAGTATTTTTTACAAAATACAGTCAATTTTACACAGATGAGCATGTAATGTAATTATAAATACATAGTAATAAGTTGAATAACCCCATTAAGCAAGTTAGAAAGTCAGTAACATGATTTTTAGTGGAAAATAATAAATTTTGATTTATCATTTGTATTATAATTCACATAAGGCTTTTTCAATAAATTTATTTTAATTTACGTGCAGTATAACTTTAAGATGATCTGGCATTATATTAAATGCTAGTATTTCATACATCTTGTAATATATTAAGTAAATAACATCAACAAAACCTTCAAAATATACCATCAAATATATAATATAAATAGGCTGATATATTTCTAAAGTTTCATTGGTATTATTTACTAGTATATAACCAGCTGTGGAAAGATTTAGAAATATATTAAATGCTAAACAAAGACAGTTGTGTCAAGTAATGCAATTGTCTCTATCTAGCATCTTTCCCATTGAAAGGATAAGGAAGAAATTGTATAGTCTTTTGGCATTAGAGTTCTCATGTTTGCTTAACATAAAGAAATCTTAAAATCATTGTTGGAATTTCATATATTCTTTCTTTGCTCATTGAAATGTTTCGAAATGTCGAACGTGCAAGTACATTCAACATTTCGAAACATCGAATGTACTTGCATGTATTTAATTCATAGAGTAAATAAATCCAATGCTGAAAGACGATACAATTTCTTCCTTATGCTACATTTGGCATCGCATGCAAGCGCACAAAATTTTACAATCCCTCCCGTCGCAAAACTCCAGACCGTAAACTGAACAAGATTACGTATGCAGAGTCTACAGGGACCTCACCTCAGTGGACGGAAGGTGCACGACGCCCGTGCTGCGTCTCTTCTCTCTCAGTTTCCTTCGTTCTCTCTGCGCCTTTCCCTTGTTGACATGGTTGGGTCTTGGGCATCTCTTATCCTTGGATCTGACGGCAGGTTTCGGAGAGGCCTCGTGATCCGCAGCATCCCCATGGTCCGCCTGTCCAGGATATCCTCCCGGTCCGTCGTCAGCATCCGCCGTGGGTCCTGTCGGTTCCGACCTCGATGGAGGGACATTCCTGGCATTGGCCCTGGCGGCACGGATTCTGGATCTACGAGTCGACAGTTCGTACTCGTTTTCGAAATCTTCTTGGCTCAACGAACTCGATGCCATTTGCCGTGTTCGGGGGTTTAATACATGAATTATAACAGTCTAATATTAACTGCGTTGTCACTTATCTCCATTTAAATATATGTTTATATTAATATTTAAGACGACGCACAGTTATCTTATAAAGTACAATTCACTTATCTGAGCTGTTTTTATAGATTATTTCAGAACATATATCAGATGGAAATTAGGTAACTAGGAAATAACAACTTCTACATCGTCAGACGAGATTCTACTCCGACGAAGGCAGCGCCTTTCATAAAAATATATGCCAGAGTTTTTTTTAATATATTCGTCTTCGATTTTAAACGATGTTTAGAACGATAAAATCGTATTTATTATTTATTTACATAAAGTTATAAGTAATAATAATTTATGCGACCTGAAAATAACAACAAACTCAAATTACTTCAAAAAGTTAATTGAAAAAAGTTTTTTTTTTAATATATTAGGCCAGGTGGCGTCGTGCTTTCGTAGAATGCCAATTTTAAAATCGTACACGAATAAAGCATACGTGATCGGTCATTGGTCGGTTGGTTGGTTGTACGTTCACCTGATTGGATATTTTTAAAATTAAGATCTCATTTACTTTGGATTTAGTTTTTATGTTTCTGAATACAATACTGATGAAAATTTCTTAAAATATCAAAAGATATAATAAGTTTATTAAGCTCAAAATTAAAACTTGGGATTATTAATATTGTGTAAAAGTTAAATGAATCCTCATTTTATGATATTCGTTGCCCACCAGTGGCCGATTGGTTAAAACCACCGAACCGAATATTTGTCGAGCGATTAAAATAATGTTTTTTTTTAAATTCTCTGGGGGATTCAGTATGAATCCGGACCAGTCGAGAAAATTTCAGGAATTTATCGGGGTGATCCATCCGGATACGTTGGACACCGGCCCAATTGTGGACCTATCCGAATCAACAATGGGCTTACTAAAAATGCCCTCATAGTGTCCACAGAATGGAAAAAGTTAAAAATGTCTAAGGTTAATTTATCCACTCTCCATTCTTTATCTAAATTAAAACACAAACTTCGTTTCTTACCGGCTGATTTTCAGTCCATTACGTTCCACTTTACCTTTAATGTATTCAAATTATTTGCTTCTTTTCTATTCTTTTCTTATTCGGATCGTTAAAAAGTCAGTGGTTACAGAATACTTCACAGATTTTAGTACACTGAAATTCTTGTTACCTGTATAAAACATTTTGATGAAAAAATAGTACAGTATTAGGAAGCTATCCATCTACCAAAGCCGAATATTATCGGTCTAGAAACGGCTATAATACTAATAATTTAATAGACAATTTGGCATTAGAGAAGTTATTAGGAAAACTGTGGCCCACTAGTGGCAGAGTGGACGAAACAGTGCTGTGCGATGTCTATAATTTCAACATCGATGTCAAACATCGATGTTTGCCTAAGCATCGATGCTAAATTTCGATGTCGGATTTCACATCGATGTTTGATCGATGCCCATTGGAACATCGATGTTCAATCAAGATAAACTCAAACAATTAAAAAAAAAAACAAAACCGGGTTTGTTCGAACAGAAGTTCCTGACGCATGCGCAATGTCATTTTACAATGCGAAGAATAACGTGCATGCCGGTTCTAAATCAGTTACAGTTAGGGACTAGGGACTTGCGTAGGAGTAACGTAAATAACCTAAATTAAGAAAGAACAGGTACAGATAACTTAGCTCTATTTGATACGTGTACGATCGTACCAGTACATGCAAAAAAAAAGTCGACAAGGTTTTTTTTTTTTTACTATTTCCGCCTTGTGGGCACTAAGAGGGCCTTTTATAGCAGGCCCATTATGGGTTCGGCCAGGCCCACAATGGGGCGACCGGGTGGTGAGGGACGGGGCCCGACATATCCGAACAGACCACCCCCCGAAAAATTTCTGGGGATTCCTTGACCCGTCCGGATTCGATCCCGGGTCCCCCAGAGCGATAGGCTGCCACCTTGACCGTTGGCCATCCGGCCTCAAAATAGACAGGTTGCGCGCCACAAGTCGGCGTAAACAGACTAACATGGCAGAGTTGCGGATGAGTTTCAATGAGTGTGAGTTCATTCACTGTAAAAATAGTGTAAATTTGTAAACATATTTGCGAGAACTTTGTTTCATCGCAATTTCACAATTTCTACGAAATTCCCGGACTGTCCGGGTGAAAACCGAACAGATAGTAACATTAGGAACAAAGAATGAACTGCATGCATCGATGAATCGAAATTCACATATTGCTAACATCGATTCAGGATCGATGTTTCAAAAACATCGGAAGGTCGATGCATCGACGAACAAAAACATCGATGTATCGATGTCACATCGATGCATCGCACAGCACTAGGACGAAACCACTAAACACCGGCTCCCTATGAAGCGGTAGGCTGCCACTTTGACCGCTCAGCCATCCGGCTGAATACGAATGTTTAATACTATGTATGCAGGTCGTAGGTTCGAGTTTCTCCAACGGGCCAGTCACGTGGAATTTTCCAGATTTTCATCACGTTTTTAACAACTAAGGACAAGCCAGTTTCTCGTAAAAGTTCTGTCATCGCTCACTTGTCGCGTTGTCGTAGCCAAATAAACCAAAGGAAGACTGTGTTGTTTACAACGGCAAGCATAAAGAATATCAAAAAAGTTTTCAAAATAAAAATATGATTCAGGTTCTAGAATCTTTCCTTCTATGCCTCTGCCTTCATTATTTAAGTTTAATTCCAATTACAAGTTGATGACTTTCAGAGTAACAAATTCCGGACACTGTGTAAAAAACACCAAGTAAAAAAAATGACCAATAAAAGAAAACCTACGGTCAAACTTGTAAACATTTTTTTTTCTTTTCTTGATGATGACAACGATAAAGGTATTATGAATGAGACAGCCGGATGGCCAAGGTATTTAATATACGAATACTTTTTTTTTATATATTCTTTCCGCCCTGTGGGCACTATGAGTTCGGCAGACCTACAATGGGGCGACCGGCTGGTAAAGGACTGGGCCCGACATATCCGAAGGGACCATCCATCGAAAAATTCCTAGAGATTTCTTGACCCGTCCGAATTCGATCCCGGCTCCCTATGAAGCGGTAGGCTGCCACTTTGACCGCTCAGCCATCCGGCTGAATACGAATGTTTAATACTATGTATGCAGTTATTTTTTATGGAGTTTTCCCTGTGTGTTGGTTGCACATACTACACACTTCAAAGATGCTAAATTCTTAAAAACCACTAGCGCCCAATACACATGAAAACCTACAGAAAAAAATTAATATAATATTTACTACGTGCTAGCTTGAAATAAAGGAAGTGTTTTTAATATGGAAATGAAAACGTGTTTAATTAAAGTAGCAAAAAAATGTTAAAAATACATGCGACGGCCGGGAATCGAACCCGGGTCAACTGCTTGGAAGGCAGCTATGCTAACCACTATACCACCGTCGCCTGTTACTAGAATTAAAAAATGACTTACATATGGATGATAATAGAATTAATAGTGTTCGATAAAAGTAGAACGGATGGCCGAGAGGTCAAGGTGGCAGCCTTGACCTCTCGGCCATCACTGGGGGACCAGGGATTGAATCCGGACGGATCAAATAATCCTCAAGAGCATTTCGAGGGGTGGCCTATCCGGATATGTCGGGCCCAGTCCCTCACCACCCTGCCGCCCCATTGTGGGCCTGGCATTGTGAGGCCCTCTTAATGCCCACAGGGCGGAAAGAGTTAAAGAAAAAAGAAGGTGTTCAATGAAGTGATTAAGTGACTTTATTCTCAGAGAAGCAGGAAGTCTGTGGATGAAGTTAAATTCATTTCAAACTACTTAAAGATGTGAGACCGTGAACGTATTCACTAAGTCATTTGCATAAACACCATCATTGCAAGAATATTAAACAATTACTACTACTTATCTAAGACAGGAAGTTTGAACTGTGATTATGATATGAAATCAGGGGTCACGCTACACAGCGCCAAAATCATCACTTGACCATATTTTCATTAAAGTGGCGTAAAAATCTTAGTCCGCTTATTTCAGCGTGAAATTGAATCACAAATCACATTTTGAGAAAAAAAAAAAAAACAACAAAATGTCGAGCTTCCGTACATTTGGTGTCCCGTGCACCACACACTTAGCAATTTCATGTCGTCACCTCAGCGATTTTAGAGGCGATAGATAAGGGATAGATAGATAAGTGCTCACCAGTGGCCGAGTGGCCTCCATCTCCGCTCATAGCGTCAGTGACCAGACCCTAAACACAGAGAGTTCGGTTGTGAGTTCTCGCCTCGATGGACAGGCTGGCAGCTTGAAGTTTTCCGGGTTTTCTCCTTGCAGATGACGCCTAAATAGGGGTCAGCTCCCTATAAAGGTCCTCCCGGAAGGCATTTTATCTCCCTTCGTGTATCTTTCAGCCGTCTTCTATAAGGCCAGTTCTTCCGTCGCCTTGCGATCTATCTCTTGTCTGTCTTCTCTTCAAAATAAACGCGTGTGCCTAATGTCTTTTCTTGCCCCCCATTCGCCACGTGGTGGGTCCGACTCGGTGGAGAGGAGTTGTGTAATCCCGGGGTGTGTAACCGAGGGTGAGTGTTTTATTGGAGGGTGTGTCTCGAGGAGAGGACAGAACGGAAGTAAGGAGAGGACGGGGAAGAAGCAAAGTAGTGGTGGTGGTGAAATTGCGTGGGAAAGTAAAGACTGTGCAACCAAGTCAGTGTGGAGATTGACGAAAATTTTTCGAACTGTTTTCTGCCTAGAGGGAAGAAAAGGAAGAGATTTACTCAAATCCATTTTGTCAGTATGTTTTATGTCTTCACGTTTCGGGAGTTTCGAGCAGTATATTGTCGGGATATTTGATGTTAACGATATTCGGTATACTAGATTGTCGGGCTCCGTAAGTTTCTGTCTTAATTTTTTGAAGTACTGTATGCTCCCAGACAAAAAATTAAAGGGTTATTTTGTAAATCGGGATAGTTGTCTTTGTCTAGTCCCTATGTTGAGTTCAGTGGATTTCCCCTGCCAAGCGCCTGCTCCATCAAGCACGCTTGTTCTAAATTCTCCCTTCATAGAAATCACTTAAGTTTAACGTGTCGATTCGTTCTCACGTTTTATACACTGCTCTATAAAGGAAAGGAAACACGATAAAGTTTGAACCATTGGAATTTTAGTTTAGTTTTGTTTTTTATGTGTAACATTATTATTTTATTATCATACCACAGTATTTGTATTATTATTCCTGACGTTTAAAGCCTATAAAATAAGGGAT